GTCTAGCAGACGCAAATGCTGAAGTTGAGTTACTGACTTGAAACAAATATGCATATCAGAGACGTCAGACAACAGGCTGAAGCACTTACTGTACATGTTCCAGGTCAGTGACACACAGAACTGAAGCAAGAGGATTTGTTGGACAACCAGACAATTAGTAATTCCATAGAAAAGCTCCCCAAATTGGATAGGAGCAGCTTTGGCACAGAGCAAAATATCTGAATTAAAGAAATTCAGCTCCTAATGCATAAGGACCAAGTGTAGTTTATCCCCAATAGGCAAGCCCCAGACAACATGTGTAATGTAATGCATCTCTTTTACCTGTTTCATCACAATAAACTTCAAGGTATACTCCTATCACGTGACATTTACTAAGCTTTCGATACTATCTCCTGGGATTACCTCCACTATACGGTATATTGCAGAGGTGGTTATCTGGACGCCTCTCTGTCCTGGTTCCAATCCCTCTACTACAATCCATCAGCTTGTGTAAAATACCCCAAATTATCTCTCTCATTCTTTCCCTGCAAAGAGAGGAACCCCCCAAGGCTGCCTCCTTTCCCCTATATTATTTGTTCTCACTATAGAACTAGTATAGTTTTTGAGCGAATCTCAACATCCATGGTGTCCCAGTATGTTATCACAATTATAAGGTTAGCCTTTTTGCTAATGATTTACTCCTTACCCTAACCCATCCTCTCATATCCCTACCTAATTTGTTATGTACCTTATAGTCTTCCGCCCAAATTTCATACTTGCACATTAATGAGGATAAATTGTTATGCACCTTACAGTCTTTCACTCAAATTTCAAACTTGCACATTAATGAAGATAAGTCGGTGGCCCTCAACATCTAAGAAATTGTTTGACTCCACATTACTCTGAATTATATCCAGCCAATTACAGCCCTACTATATGTAAATTTAAAACACTATTATCTTCTTGGAATTATCACCCCATCTCTTGGGTGGGGAAAGAATTAACTGGATCAAAATGACTGTTCTGCCTAAACCCTCCTGATCCTGGTCCCTTCTTTTTCCTAAAGTCTTTCCAGAACCAGGACCATGTTCTTCATATGGCATACCTGCAGCCCACAAATCTCCAGGACAACTATTTATATACATAGACCATCAGGGTGGTCTAGGGGTTCCAAATCTTTTAAAAAATTATCAAGCCACCCAGATCGCTCCATTGACCAACTTGTATGCTGCTAAAGCAGCCCCTATATGGGTATGCCTTTGAATCCACCTCCTGGATTCATACAGTTGTGTTCAAAATAATAGCAGTCAGACATCACTAACCTGGTCAATCACTGTTTTTGGTAGAAATTATATTTCTACATGGCAAATAATTTACTAGCAGGTGTAGTAGAGTAATAGAAATCCAACAGACCCAACAGTCATGACATGCATGCTGCTGATTCTGTGTAATTGAATCACTAATTGAAAGGGGCATGTTCAAAATAATAGCAGTGTGGAGTTCTATTAGTGTGAGGTCATTCATTCTTTGAAAACCAGGTTGCAATTATTGCCCTTATTTAAGGAAGGCAGCAAATGTTGTACATGCTGGTTACAGTGCATTTCTCTCTGACATTCTGAGGAAAATGGGTTGTTCCAGACACTGTTCAGAAGAACAGCGTACCTTGATTAAAAAGTTTATTGGAGAGGGGAAAACATATAAAGAAGTGCAGAAAATGATAGGCTGCTCAGCTATCATGCTATGATGGCAAATGCTTTAAAATGGCAACCAAAACCTGAAAGACGTGTGGAAGAAAGCAAAAAACTACCATTCGAATGGATAGAAGAATAGCCAAAATGGCAAGGACTCAGCCAACAATCAGCTCCAGGAAGATCAAAGAAGGTCTAAAGTTACCTGTGAGTACTGTTACAATTAGAAGACGCCTATGTGAAGCCAAGCTATCTGCAAGAAGCCCCCGCAAAGTCCCACTGTTGAAAAAAAGACATGTGCTGAAGAGGGTACAATTTGCCAAAGAGCACATTGACTGGTCTAAAGAGAAATGGCGCAACATTTTGTGGACTGATGAAAGTAAGATTGTTCTTTTTGGGTCTAGTGGCCGCAGACAGTTTGTCAGACGACCCCCAAACACTGAATTCAAGCCACAGTACACTGTGAAGACAGTGAAGCATGGTTGCGCAAGCATCATGATATGGGGATGTTTCTCACACTAAGGTGTTGGGCCTATTTATCGCATACCAGGGATCATGGATTGGTTTGAATACATCAGAATACTTGAAGAGGTCCTGCTGCCTTATGCTGAAGAGGTAATGCCCTTGAAATGGGTGTTCCAACAAGATAACGACCCCAAACACACCAGTAAACGTGCAACATCTTGGTTCCAGACCAACAAGATTGACGTTATGGAGTGGCCAGCCCAATCCCCAGAACTTAATCCAACAGAAAACTTGTCGGGTGACATCAAAAATGCAGTTTCTGAGGCAAAACCAAGAAATAGAGAAGAACTGTGGAATGTAGTCCAATCATCCTGGGCTGGAATACCTGTTCACAGGTGCCAGAATTTGGTTGACTCCATGCAACAGATGTACAGCAGTTCTCAGAAACAGTGCTTATACAGCCAAATATTCATTAAGTGATTCAAAGGAAAGCAAAATCTTCAAACACTTTTCAGTTTAGTGAATGTTTGAGTTCGTAAAGAAGAATACAAACACTGCTATTTTTTGAACAGTCTAATATTCACTTTTCTTCAATTTTTTTAGAGGAACAACGCAAATTTGATATATTTTTCTTCATGTTTTGATTTGGAATAGAATGTGTAGTGTTCCCAATGCATTTGTGTGTATGGAAATAAAAGCTATTAGAAGGATTTTGAGCTTTAGTCACTTTTTTCAACACACTACTATTATTTTGAACACAACTGTATACACTTACAATTCTTACCCTGGATCTCCTTTAATAAGAGGCTTTAACACTTACCCCAATTTTGGCACATAATTTATGCATATTATGGAATGGCCTCAAATACTCCAGCAACCTGCTCTCTGCTAACTTTCCTTTGCTTCCACTGACTGGCAACCCACTTCCCCCCCCCTCTCTGGGATTAGAGTCCTCTGCAGCCTTCTTCTGGTGGCCTCAACATGGTTTTACCTCAGTTTATTCACTTTTAGAATAATCTAAAGTCCTCCTGTGACCAATTCTTACAGAAAAAGGATTTCAGGCCCCCTCTTCTAAATTATTAAGATATACCCAGCTTAGACACTGTATAGTTTCTCCTATACGTGACAAAAACCTCTCTCCTCTTTTAAAGTGTTATTAAACCCGCAACAGTAAAATCAGTTTGTATATGCAGTAAAGCATGCTTGTTATACTCACTGTGGAACCTAAGGGGTTAATCCTCTGCATTGTGTAAAAAGGCTGTGTGATCCTTTCCTCTCTGCCCCTCCTCTTGTTGAAATGACCACCTGATAAAGACTGAATTTGTAGTCACATACACATGCTCAGTTTGGTGTGTATTGCTAAAGAGGTTTTTTTTTTTCTTTGGAGAGTGCATGTGATCAGCACAGGGTCAATCAGCACTGTCCAGACAGAGGGTCAGAGGTTTCACATCCTCCTAGAGCAGAAAGAAAACTCCTCCTACAAGCTTTAATCAGTGCTCTGCTGAAGTCACTGTTCTAACTGCTGATGGGAAAAGGTATTTAGCAGTTTATATTTACTAAAATAACTCCATTTCCATGTTGTGTGTACTGTGGGAGACCAGATATAGTGAGTGCAGGGTCCTGTGTTTAGTATCATTTTAACAGCTCTCAAACATATTTGCCACCACACCCAATTAGAATTCAAGTTGATTTCTGTAATCTACTCTCATTTCGACTGTCTCTCGTCTCCTGCTAGGCAAGCTTATGTGGCAAGGTGTTAGGCAGTGTACTTGAACAGGAAATGGGGTACCCACACACCAAAAGCCACTGGAAAGACCAATAACCTAACATTTATTAGAGTTTTAATAAATAGTAGGATTGTTGTGTATGTTATTTCTACATACTATTAGGATGGAGACTTTGGTGGATATACACCCCCCCCCCCGTTTCCTGTTCAAGTACATATATATACCATATTTGGGGAGTTCTGGGAGTAGGCATTAGTTTCAGTAACAAGGTGGGAAGCAGACCTGAAAGTCCATAAAATGGAAAAAGAACGGTTAAGCACTTGGTCTACCACTGTCACTTGGACTATCAATGGTACAACTCTCAAGTCAGTGTACAAGGTTTGATATATGGTGCCTTAGTGGTTGCCAAATAGAAGACAATGTCCTCCACATGTGGTGGACCTGCCAGGTGCTCGGACATTTCTGGTCCAAAGTATTTGCCCTCCTTCATAAATTATTTGGGATTTGGCTACCTAGGGTTTAAACTGCCACATTTTGTACCCTTAGCCTCCAAATTAACAATTGCCAAAGCTTGGAAGTAGCAGTTCTCCTCCTTTCCAAAGTCAAAACCAGGTTAGATGGTCTCTACATAAACGAACATTTGACTAGTATCCTTATTAACAACCACAAAAAAATTAGTAGAATCTGGGACCCCTAGATCACCTTTCTCATGATGTTTGCCCTCTATTCTATAATTTGTGCTCCAGTGGTGGAAGAGAGCCCCCTGCGTTAGACTTATTTTCCTACCCCCCCTTTTCTCTAGTACAGGTTCTTCTTCTTTCCCTCTTTTCTCCCCCTTCTTTCCATTTTCTTCCTCCACTTTACTCTCTTCATTTTCTTCTTTTTCTTCTATAGTTAATCATATACTGTATAGGCCAGGCCTCACAATTTCCACTCGCCTGCTTGCATTTGACAAGTGGAAATAACGTGAGAGCAAGAGTGGAGCCCAGCCCAGTGTTTCAGGACCTCCGGAGTCTCCTCCCATCCCTCTGCATAGTCCAGACAGAGCAGAGCAGAAGTGTCCTGCACAGCCCCACAGAGGACACTGCAGGAATGCCTCCCACCACACAGCCACCCCTGGAGAGCCCATGGAGCGGAGGACATGGCTGACCGCCGAAGGGCTCGGAGGATGGCCAACCACACGCTGGAACCCGTCAATGCTGCCTGCAACTGCCCACCGGAGGACCAGAGTCACTGGGGTCATCAAGTCCTGCCGCCTGTTGACAGCGGACAGCCCCACTTGCAGCACGGTTCCGACCCCCACCTGCCATCGACCACAACAACCAGGCGCCGGCTCAGCTACCCTTCCTACCACAAGATCCTTTCCACTGACGCTGCTTGCCAGGTGAGAGCTGTCCCACTGGCCCCCTCCTGTGACACTGCACCCCATCTAACCCACTGCCCCCCCTTTTGTGATGCTGCCTCCCCATCTATCCTACTGCCACCCTCCTGTGATGCTGCCCCCCGATTTATCCCACTGCCCCCCTCCTGTGACGCTGTCCCCCACCTAACTGCTGCCCCTCCTGTGACACTGCCCTCTACCTATCCCACTGCCGCCCTTCTGTGACACTGCCCCACACCTGTCCTGTCCCCCACCTCCTGCGACATTGCCCCCCCTCCTGTGACACTGCACCCCCACCTATCCTGCTGCCCCCCTCCTTTGATGCTGCCCCCATTTATCCCACTGCCCCCCTCCTGTGATGCTGTCCCCCACCTACCCACTGCCCCTCCTGTGACACTGCCCCCCACCTAACCCGCTGCTGCCCTCCGGTGATGCTGCCCCCCACCTGTCCTGCTGCCCCCCACCTCCTGTGACATTGCCCCCCCCTCCTGTGACACCTCACCCCCACCTATCCTGACGCCCCCTCCTTTGACGCTGCCCCCCACCTATCCCGCTGCCCCTCATCTAGCCCACTGCCCCACTCCTGTGAAGCTGTGATGACCTGTCCCGTTGCCCCCCCTCCTGTGACACTGCCCCCCACCTGTCCCACTGCCCCCAGCTGTCCTACTGCCCCCCACCTGTCCTGTTGGCCCCCTCCTGTGACACTGACCCCCACCTATCCAGCTGCCCCCTCCTGTGATGCTGCCCCCCACCTATCCTACTGTCCCCCTCTCCTGTGATGCTGCCCCCCACCTGTCCTCCTCTCCTGTCATGCTGCACGCCATTTCTTCCACTGCCCCCCTCCTGTGATGTGCCCCACCTGTTTTGCTGCCCCCCTCCTGTGGATGGATTTTTTACTGGGGACAGACTGACCTGGGGGGGAAATCTAATGGGAAAGGACAGACCTGGGGGGATTTACTGGGAAAAGACTGGCCTAGGGGGGATTTACTGGGAAAAGACTGACCTAGGGGGGATTTACTGGGAAAAGACTGACCTAGGGGGGATTTTACTGGGGACAGACTGACCTGGGGGTTCATCTGCATAAAACATTTAACAGTGTCATTTCATGAGATAATTTACGAGGGTGTGTTTTTAGGGGCAGAATTAGGGGTGGGGCAGGGTAGGGGTTGGGTAACTGGTGGTGAATAACTCTTAAGGCCTGGCTAGTAGCTCTGGACTTGAAATTTTGAGTCCTGGTATAAGCTATCCATGGTTTATTTTCTTTATGCACGTATTATGATGCATTGAATTGAGGTCTTCTGAACTGTTTAGAATCTCCTCTTCCTTGGCTCCTTGTTATATTCTGTATTTTGGATATGAATTTGACATGTTATTGACCTCTGTATCACTTTTACCTTTTTTATATACATTGTGTAAACATATTGAAATAGAAAGAAATTCACCCAGCTTTTCTAAATGTCTAACTCCAAGTTCACTGCAACCATAGAACATAGATTGTACTTTTCTGTAATAAAGATTCCCAGCAAACATTTGAAAAAAAATAAATGTACTAAATGGAGTTCTGCATATTTGTTGAATGGTTAAATAGGAAATATAGAAAAAATAATTAAAACAATTGCAATCATTTGGTGATTTGATCTCTTCACATACAGGCCTCAAGGAAAATGCCATATACCACATGACTCAGTAAGACCCGTGGTCAGTCAAGAACAGCTGATGTGTTGCGCAATCTTTTGCAAATACAGGTCTCAGCAACTTATGTACCAAATTACTCAAAGCCTCAATTAATCATGGCAGGGAGGCCTAAAAATTGCTCATACAGTTGTGTCTAAAGCCCAAACTTCTTTTTTAACTTTAAGGGTAAGGAGTTAGAATTCCTATCAAATTTTTTGCTGTGTTTGAATCCCCACTGGGGAAAATTCCCTTCATGTTTTCTGTTGGTGGCCATCATCACCAGGACTGAAAGTGAACAAAAATGTAAACGTTTACACTTGTTAGGTGGCAAGAATTAAAATTATTATTTCTCATAAATAGCAGAACAGAATGATATAAAAAAGCAAAAGAGATTTCTGCATTATCTCAGTGTATTTTACAATGCTGAGGTCTTGTATATGCAACCAGTTCACTTTTCTTTTTCTTCTTTTCTTTGATGGAAAAAACTATTTCTACAGTCTCATCATATACTATTCTGTACCTGGAGGGGGGTGGAAGCAGAATGTATTTAATGATGACATCTTCTATTTGTACCTATGCCACATCATAGCTTGGCACAGGTACACAGATGATGTGTTTGTCATCTGGACTGGTACCTTAGAAACGTTTAATGACTTTATGTTTGCTTTGGGTAGGAACACATACAACTTGAAAGTCACTATGAATGTAAGTTCATCCAGAACCTCCCCATTTCTGAATACTAAAATACTGGCACAGCATGATAGTTAGCAGGAAATCCAAAGTGAATAGGGTAACAGGAAAACCTGTGTAACAAACTGTGTCCACCCACAGGAAAATATCACCTGTCGTCTAAATACCTGTGATGACAATCTGTTAGCTCTCCACTAGCTAACAGATTGTCGGAGCCTGATTAGGATTGTGTGAGTGTGATGCAAAAAAACCCAAACAAACATGAAATCTTAAAAATTAGGCTGGGATCTCCAAATACAGAAAGGTTTCTTCACAGTAATAACTGTGAAAATGTGGAACAGACTCCCTCAAGAGTTGGTTCTGGCCAGCTCAATGGATTGCTTTAAAAAAGGCTTGGATTCTTTCCCTGCAGGAGCAAATTGGATCATGCTTTGCTGGGTGTTCTTGCCTTCCTCTGGATCAATTGTGGGTATAGGATTATAAAATTTTTTTTTTTTTTTTGGTTGATGGACTGGAATTACTTTTGTCTTTTTTCAGCCAGACTAACTATGTAACAGGAAGGAGAATAAATCAATCAATCCAAGAGTACAATATACATCTAATAAATTATAAAAAAATATACAAACAATGAAAAAGTAATATGGATATAATATTATTTAAAAGAAGGTAGCCCAGATTAAAAAAAAACAGTCCAAAATCTGCTGTAACTGAGAGTGTGCTGCTGCTGACCTGCAATGAGCTGATGCTGGAAACCTGTATAAAACAAGAAAGGAGAAAGAGGAGAGCACACTCCATAGTAGAGCATGCATAAGGAAGTTTAATGGACAAAATAAAATCAATAGTTGCACTCACAAACAACTGTGAGGTAGAGAGGCTTGTCAGGTGGCTTGGAGGACAAGTCCAGAGTCAGTGTATGAGCTATCCCAGATCCTCACCTTGGCCACTGGCTGGGGAAAGCATGGGATGAAGTGGAAATGACACTACTGGCAGAGATAGATGGAGCTGCTTCTAGGTCTGGAGTCCAAGAGCTGAAAGCCTCCTGTTGTCACCGCTACCCCAAGATACAGGGATGTGTTTCAAAGCAATCCTGCTTCTTTATCAACCCCTTGAGGATGATAATGCTTCTAAACATGTCCCTAAGGTTTTGACTAACAAATCTTTCTATGAGCAATTATGCTATGAGCAAGCTGCCATTCATTAAAATAGAATTGAAATTTCTGTCATATATAACATATGTCATTTATTTTGCTTGTGGAATTTTGTTCGCCTTTTTACTGTTATATAACACTATTTGCTTATTGTTATTGTACATTTGATAGTTATAAAGCTATGTTGTTTTACAAAATCTGTGTTGCTGTCAGCCTAACCTGACCAGTATTATCCCTCTGACCTGCCTCTTTGAAGGGAGGTTGTATGTATCTGGTTTAACCGGGATGCTCCTGTCCATCCTGATATCCGTGGGTTTGTTATGTAATGCTCATATTCCATTCTTTGAGTTTACCCCCTTCATTTCCCATGCAGTGGGTAATAAAAAGGGAGGTGGTGGTAGCTCCCCTATTTGGCATTTCGAGGAGTTCACCCCTCCTGTTTATTGGGGATCCTGGTGCCTGCCTCACTCATACATTGGTAAGCCTTGGAAGAATGATCACATATACACTAGTATTCTTGCTTTATAGACATGTGCAAAATTTATGACCTTTCTGCTTTATATTTACTTCAGCCCCATATGGATTCCTCAATGCAAGAACTTGCCATAAGCATTACAATGCGCAGCTGCTAGTTTATCGTGTGCGGAGTATATTCTTATGTGGAGCTAGCAATTCTTTGTAATCAGTTTGGGGCGTTTATACTAGTGGTGCACCGAAATGAAAAATTCTGGTGCCGAAACCAAAGCTGAAAATTCAGGATGCACTTGGCCGAAAACTGAAACCGAAATGGGCAGTTTTTAAAAAAAATATATATATTTTTGGAAAAAAATACAACTTAATGATTAAAAAAGAAACACACACAATATATTCCCCATTTTTTTGTAAAATATGAAAGAGGATGTTATTGCGAGTAAATAGATACCCAACATGTCATGCTTTAAAATTGCGAACGCTCCTGGAATGGCGTCAAACTATGGTGCTTAAAAATCTCTATGGGTGACGCTTTAAAAATTTCTACAGGTTAGCAGTGTAAAGTTTCAGAGGCATTCTAGTGCTAGAATTATTGCTCTTGCTCTGACGTTCGTGGCAATACCTCACGTGTGTGGTTTGAACACCGTTTACATATGTGGGCATGGCTTACATATGTGTTCACTACTACGTGCGAGCATGGGGGCACTTTAAACATTTTTTTTACTTTTAATTTAATTTTTTTTTTTTACACTGTCCCTTAAAAAAAAATGTTAATCACTTTTATTCCTATCACAAGGAATGCATGCATCCCTTGTGATAGAAATAATTGGTGACAGGTCCTCTTTATGGAGAGATATGAGGTCAAAAAGACCCCACATCTCTCCTACAATGTAAAGCATTAGATCAAAAAAAGCATTGATCTAGTGCTTTAAAAAAAAATAAAAAATGGCCTTGTTTACAAGGCGACGGAACCAGAAGTGACATCGCTGGTACAGCTGTACATGGTAGCCAATCAGCTTCTAACTTCAGCTTGTTCAATTAAGCTGTGACAATAAAACCTGGAAGCTGATTGGTTTCTATGCGGAGCTGCACCTGATTTTCCACCATGCAGTTTTAGTAAATAACGCCCATTGCATGTTATCTCATCTCACTGTGACCAGGGGTGGACTGACCACTTGGAAACTTGGGCACTGCCCGAGGGCCCGGGGTCAGTAGGGGGCCCCATGAGATGCCCCTGGTACCTTTTTCATAGGCTTTTTTGAGTTTGGGCAAGGAGACAGGGGCCCCATGATCCCCTATTGCCCGGGGGCCCCATGAGTTGTCAGTCCGCCCCTGACTGTGACTATCGGTTACTGTTGAATGAAAAGAATGTATTGTACAGAAGCATAGGAATATTTTGCTTATCAATGAATGGTTAAGGGCAGATACAGTATATGGGGGTATGAACCACTAATTACTTTTATATTATCAATGAAAATGTATTTTATCCTATTTTATATATGCTTTTATTTACGATTAGGAAAAGTGCAAAGTTCCTTGGTAGAATAGTGTACTTGTATTCGGCTAATATATTTGAGATCCAGTGTCTAGCTCTATTACCAGTCCAATATAGTTATTTTTTACAATGTAGCAGTTAATGGGGGAAGGGGGCTGTCAGGTGCACTAAAAAGCAGCATGTCCAGATATATCTTTTTACAGCTTGACCATACATTCTTAACTGGAGTTGACTTTTCAATCCATGTAGGTACTAATGAGAACTGTTTCATACAAATCATACATCTGTTCACTTTCATTCTCAATAAAAAGGTTAACTTGCTATCGTTTCCTACAAAAGTCTTAATGTGAACAGTCTGGATATTTCCCTTTATGAGAAAGCTATAAAAATTGCAAAAGACAAAGCCAGAAAAGAAAAGACATCATTGTTGAGTCCATTAGAAAAGCAGGTGGTTTGATGTTATTTTATAGTGTAATGGAATTTTCGAGGTGACACGTACAGGTTCAGTGCCCAAACCAAGTCTCTAGCCCCGATGCCTTGATTTTCCAACTGTGTGCGCCAGTCACCACAAATTAAACAAAAAAAAGCCTGCTAAGAGTTTGAAGTCTGAACTGTATTCCAAAGTTCTATCCCTACACCCTGTCAGCAGCGTGCATGTTATGAAAAGGCAAAACATCAGTTGTTCCTGGTTTCACGGTGTCTGTTTTAGTTGGAGCACTAGCAGACACAACAAAAGGAAGAAGATGCCAAATCCCAAAAATAGAAAGGAGCTAGTGCTGATTTAAAAGCCACCGCTTGTGCAATTGCTCATGTAAAGATTCAGCTCCATCTGACCTATCAACAGGACAATATTCTGTGACACTTTTACACAACTGGTGCAGAGATGCATGCATGAACAAGAGCCTGAAATAAGATCCAAGATGGCATGTGTCAGGTGACACATATCATAAGCTCTGAGGGTATACTTCTGCCTGAATGCTGTTGTCTTATGGGGTAGCTTTTACGTATTATCAAAACTAGAGAATACAAAAGAAACATATAATACATAGGCAGGGGTTGTCTTCAGTGAAATATATCCCCAAATATTTATCAGAATGTAAATCCAGAGATGCAGGCTGAAGTTATATACAGATCTCATCTTTTACTGTAAAACTCAATCTTGGACCTGCAGCTGCAAACCATCTTAAAGTGGACTAGAATCATATATATTTTAATGTTAAGTGAATGCAGACTATGTGATGTGTAAGAAAAAAAGCACAAGTATTTATTAACTTTTAGAGATCACAGTACACCCCTGACACTGCGTTCACCCAGTGATGTATTTAGGTTTCATGCTGCCCTAGGCAAAACAAAAATCAGCTCCCCCACCCACCCACGGAGAGACCCTGACACTGACAAACACCGCCCTCCCCCCCCACGATAAGAGCTGGACATTGACCAACAACTCCCCACCCCAGCCCCACCCAAGAGAGCCTTTCACTACCACCGCTCCATACACACTGGCAACTCCCCCACCCCGGCGAGAGAGAAGACACTCACCTTCACAGCTCCAGATATCCCCAGGAACTCTTGTCGGGCTCTGCATACACCATCAAGCAGCCTGCAGCCTCTCTCAGACCCCACCTAGTTACCATGCTGGGTGTTTCTTTTCTTCCATCCCTTCTTTTAGGGGGCAGTGCTGCCCCACTGAAAGTAGCCTATGCCCCCCGAAAAATGTTGCTGCCCCCTGAAATGATGCCTCCCTACGCAAATGCCCTGTTTGCCTTGTGGTAAATATGCCCCTGCGTTCACCTGCTTTTTTTTCTCCAGAATTTGTTAAGGGGCAGCATCAACTTCCTGCACTGAAATACAGGCTCAAGACTGGCACAGTCATGTGAATCCTGGTGCCTGCATGCACACTAAAATAACTATAAATGCATGATTTCAAACAGAGGTTGCCTGGCTATATTTGAAGGTAGGTGGTCTAGACCAGTGTTTCTCAACCTTTTTTCCAGACAAGGAACCCTTTAAAATTATGGACAGTCTTGAGGCACCCCATTCCAAAATGGGGTGCCTCAAGACTGTCCATAATTTTAAAAGGGCACCCCATTCTAAAATGTGAAAAAGTATTTTGATAGTTTTATATAATGCAGCAACATCCACACATATAGGACACCCAACATTAGACGTGATTTATTCTTCAAAAGCAAATACACTTCTGTACACTAGTACTGACTAGTATTCCATTGTTTCTCTTCTCCTTCAGTTTTTCTCCATCACTGAGCTAATGTGATCCCTGCACTGATGGAGAAGGGCAGGGGAGGGTCAAACTAGGATGATATGCAGGCAGCTGACATCCTTCTTGTCAACTAATGATGTCATTGGTTGTCAGGATGCTGGCACCTAGAAGGTCGTAATGGTGCACAATGAAAACCTGTGCCTTTGTGTAACTAAAAGGCAGGCTTGTTCCACCAGCTGGCTTGTATACAAGTTTTGGGCAATTTTCCAGACATTTTGCTAAGGCATCCCTGAAGAAACTTCAAGGCACCCCAGGGTGCCGGGGCACCCTGGTTGAGAAAGGCTGGTCTAGACTCTACTACTCCTGGATTATAAACAATAGACCTTATAGCACATAGCATGCAAAGCCTTTGAGTAATATCTCCCCACTCAACCTTGGTTATGTATAAAATGGTAAGTCATCGACCCCCTATACAATGTTACATTGCCAACAGCTATTACTGGTTAGGTATTATTAAATGAAACCATACATACTGTGCTATGTGATGTAATTCATGATGTAATTGCCTTATACCGTCTCATAGAAATGGTACCTTCTTGTCATTTGATCTGAATTTTTTGTGTATTAACAAATAGGGGTAGATTTACAAAAACTTGGTGCACTCAGAAAATGGTGCAGCTGTGCATGGTAGCCAATTAGCTTCTAAACTTAGCTTGTTTAGCTAAGCTTTGGCAATACAACATGGAAGCTGATTGGTATCTATGCAGAGCTGCACCAAATTTTACACTCTCCAGCTCTAGTAAATAACCCCCATAGTGTCTAAGACAGACTCAACTGGAGCCGAGAAAATTAGCTTTTAAATTTTATATGTTGCGTGGAAAAAAATAAAGCTAGAAGCTAATCGGTTGCTGTAGGCAACAGGCACCAGTTAAAACGTAAAAAAACACACCTATTTAACTGTTCCTGAAAACGGTTCCATTCAAGGCATGTCGTGAATGATAACTGTTACAGTTGCTTGTGCGCTCAACTGATGAGTCAAGCTATCATAACTGATCACATGTGCAACACCATAGCAACTGCAGATCAAAGATGGCAGCTTCCTTGACTGTAAAGGATTATAGGGTTTAGTTGCGCTTTACGATAGAACTTCAGACACTTCTTAATAATTCGCCCCCAACTTGTTTCTTTCCAAGTTTATTAGTTGCTTACAGATAAACAATATACATTATCATCCACTAAACACAGAAATACTGCTGATATATTTCTCCTAAAATTACTTCTGCAGTCTATTCAGTCAATGGGAACAGCACAAAGGAGGGTAGAAAGAAAAAACAATGGCTTTTACCCTAACACATACCGAAGTGCCACATCCCTAAATCAGTTCAAACACAAAGAAACAAATATTGGATGGCAGTTCATGGACTTTATAAGCACGACACTGAATATCATTTAAAAAATGTACAATGTTTATTGCTACACAGTTAAAATTCATTAAAATCACATTTAAAATAAACCATAGTACCATCCTGCACCCTTTTGTTGGTTATGGTGGTGGCCCCACACTGTAGTAAAGGTACACACTGTGTAAATAACTAGTATAAATACAGTTATTCTGGGGTTGTCACCATCCAGGGGAGGACTGACCATTTGGAAACTCAGGCACTGCCCGAGGGCCCTGGGTTAGTAGGGGGCCCCATGAGATGCCCCTGGTACCTTTTACATAGGCCTTTTTTGAGTTTGGGCAAGAACACAGGGGCCCCATGATCCCCTATTGCCCGGGGCCCCATGAGTTGTCAGTCCACCCCTGCCACCATCCATTCACATAGAGAGCAACATGTTTCACCTGTTTCGCTTCCTCAGGAGCAGAAGGGGCAAAGATTTGACTGCTACATGGAGAACCAGCAACAGAGGATCCCAGAAGTGGTAGGCCAAAAGAGCTAGCCCGGCCTCCCGAAACCATATGGAATACGTTCAAATATACATCAGGAGTAGGGAAGATGCCAATAAATCAAATCTGTTCCAATATGAAAAGCCCTTGAAAAAGGAGATATTTTAATGTATTCACTCAGTAACCATAATACATCCTCCGAAAATTGTATCCAGGTCACTAGAAGCTGGGGATTCATTTGCCAAACATCTATAATTCAAAAATGCAATCCCAACCTCATTCTACCATGAAATTGGTGAATCCCCTGGATTTTGATCTACTTCTGATGTCTGTGTAAGTCCTCATTTTAGTAGCTCAATGACCCGCTACATCAGCCCCTGCTTACTTTAAAAAGCTGTATGTAGCTTTGGTTTCCTTACCTCCTGTGCATTCAGGATCTTCTCCATGTTCCCAACATCTCTGTAGAAGACCTGCTCTTGGTGCACTTGCTCCAGCAGCTTTCTCTTCAGTTCCCATTGCTGGTACAGTTTCTTATTTTCTTCCACGAGAGCTTGAAGTTTGACATGGATCTAAAAAAAAACAAGCAAGAATCAATATGCTTGTTTCGGCTGGATTTATCATAACTTTACTTTTAGAGTTAAGCATCCCAAAGTGGATTTTTTTTGGCAGAAAAGATTTTGTATGTCTTTTCCACCAAACAAATTGTTTCCTCTCTTGCTAACATTTTTTTAAATTGTACACTTACAGCACAAAGCAATGCAAACTCAGCATCTGTAAGGTGCCAAGTATATAAGCTGGGTGTCAGGATGTAGGTCATGTATGCAGGCGTGGAAGTCACATCATCAGTGGCCATTCAAAGACTAAAAAAAAAAAAGGGGAAGCCTGGCCAGCAGAAGGATCTAAGAAAATGGCATTGGTGACAATGAAGTAATGAGGGATAAATGTAAACCATACATGACTAGAGGAGGGCAAACTAAACTAAAGGTAAATTCGCTGTGCATACATTGTGAAAAAGGCTCCTCGGGTACAAAAAGACTTTAGATCTGCTTTAAAGATAACCTATCCATAACTGTACAAGTCTACATTCCACATTGTAACATACAGCAGCCATGCTCAATCAGGGTTGCATGGAACTCTGGGGATCCTTCAGAGTTTGCTAGGGAATTCTTGAGCTGTGACTGATTGGCATCCCAATTGATGGTGCCTGGAGAGGCCCAGGACCAATGCCACTTGTCAGGGTCAGAGGCATGACTCCAATTATATTTTTGGCTAACTGTAAGGGTACAAATTTCAATTTCTTGCATACATCCGTATGATGTACTTGTATTTGTGATAGCACATGAGTAAAGCAGCGCATTCATATCAGTGACAGGCTGTATGCTGCACTTGGACTGCCTGGGCAGAGAAAATACTGCAATTATGCTGACCGGACTGAGCCAGCCTGTGTGCAGGAGCCCTTGATATGAAAAAATACATGTAGTGCTAGGTCCACTTTAACTTTCCTATTTGTTAATGCTTAAAGTGTTACTAAACCCACAACAGTAAAATCAGTCTGTATGTGCAGTAAAGCATGCTTGTTATACTCACTGTGGAACCTAAGGGGTTAATCCTCTGCATTGTGTAAAATGGCTGTTTGATCCTTTCCTCTCTGCCCCTCCTCTTGTTGAAATGACCACCTGATACAGACTGTATCTTCTCTGTTTCTCCCCTTTTTCAAGTGAACACCTCTTATCTGCACACTGAACCGCAGGCATGCACATGCTCAGTTTAGTGTGTATTGCTAGAGAGGTTTTTTTTTTCTTGGGAAAGTGCATGTGATCAGCACAGGGCCAATCAGCACTGTCCAGACAGAGGTCAGGGGATTTCCATCCTCCTAGAGCAGAAAGAAAACTCCTCCTACAAGCTTTAGCCAGTGGTGGGCTGGACACTGATAGAAGTCACAAGACTGCTCTATCTGCTGATGAGAAAATGTATTTAGCAGTTTATATTTACTAAAATAATTGCATTTTCAAGTTCTGTGTACTGTGGGAGACCAGATATAGTGAATGCAGGGTCCTGGGTTTAGTAACACTTTAATAATGATTTATAAATTGCAAGTTGGAACATCCTATTTTATATCTGCAGAATTTATATTCAATAGTACACTAACCCCTTGGCAGCTAACAAACTTTTCTTCACAAGGCCAAAACTGCACCATGACTTGGCCAACAAAATGAAACGACATAGCTAACTTTAAAGAGAAGCTGCTGTCTCCCCCTTACCCAAAAAAAAAAAATTACAAAAAATAAAATAAATATTGTAGCTTCTGATTTTTAATATAAGGGCACTTATCTGTCCAGGGATCCAGAGATGTCCCTCACTCCAGCTGATTCTTCATGCGGCTTCGGGTGCAGGTGCCGGCATCTTAGGTAAGGGAAACCAGCATTGAAGCAGCTGCACAGCCGGTTTCCTACTGTGAATGAGCGAGCCACACTGAGCTTTGTGAATGTTCCCACAGTCTTTCTGGGTCCTGTGTGTGTCCAGAAGACTGCGGGGGGGGGGAGACGGAGGGTCCAAACTTCCTTACAGATCACTGAGGCAGGTATCTGTCAAAACCTACCTACTCCCCCCCAATAGTGTCAAATGTGACAGTGGAGAGAGGGGGAGGGGTGTAAACAAGTGAAGCTTCCCCTTTTTTTTTCCGCTTTAAGTTGAGCTGTATTAACACTTCAGTTGTTCGCATGTTAGGGTGATGAAAATACAAAGGGGTTGATTTACTAAAGTCAAATAATTTGTGCACTGCAAGTGCAGTTGTTCTAGATCTGAGGGGAAGCTCTGAAATGAGAGAAAGCTCTGATTTCTATCATTCATTCATGTGCAAGCAATAAAGCTTTTTTTTTTTTTTTTCCTTACATGTGATTGGGTATTCTTTGCAAAGTGAAGCTTCACCTTGTTTACTAAGCTCTGGAGCAACTGCATTTGCAATACACTTGCAGTGCACAGTATGGGATTGATTTACTAGAACTGGAGAGTGCAAAGTTTGGTGCAGCTGTACATGGTAGCCAATTCAGCTTCTAACTTCTGCTAGTTCTATGAAGCTTTGACAAAAAAAACCTGATTGGTTTCTATGCAGAGCTGCACCAGATTTTACACTTCTCCAGGTTTAGAAAATCAAACCCTATATTTGCCTTTAGTAAATCAACCCCAATGCCTATTTGCGTGCTACTAATTGTCACATACTTTTTAGTATTAACAAACCTACAATTCAGGTACTTTGTACTGCCATAAACACAACATCTGTAATGCAGTTTTTTTTTTTACTTTGCTGGAAACACAAAAGCAATGAATTTTTACCTGTATGGAAGGGATTTTGCCCTCTTGGAGAAGGGATTGGCCAATGGACACTGTCTTGTTGTAAGTCTCTTGATTAGCATCTATATTTTGCTTCAGATCTTGGTGGGCTTTCAGCTTTTCACTACTAGCCAAAACACCACGTATGGTCTCTTCGGCCTGCATCTCTCGGGTTATCTCTGCTGCCCCAGGAGAAGTAGTCACGTACCGTACCTAAACACAGAAAAACAGCTACAATATATGTACCTTAACCAGATTAAAAACCTTCTATGCAAATTTTTACTGGGATATTGCTTATGGACAAAATATATATAATATTCAATTAAAAGTGTAGTATTCCCATTGGTATCAGACTTCAGATCACTTCAGGTCTTATCAATTAAATGTATGAGGTTTCTATGGGTTACTACTTTCTGCACTTTGTCCTACCAAATAAGACGAATTAATATAGGAAGCCTATACAGTAAGAATATGGCTGCTACATTAAGTGACCATATGCTGATCCAGTATCTGATATACATTCTAATTTTTATTGAGTTTACAGTAACATCACAAATTGACTTGAACTTCTCTTACTATCTACTTCTAGTTCAAGGACTCCAAGTTGTGAAGCCAAAGACATCCAGACAACTAGTATTCTAAAGCCGGTCATGCATGGATCAAGATTTGGCCAGTTTCACAGGGACTGGTCAAATTTCGATCCATGTATGGGCAGGGTGATTGTACAGAAGTCGATTGACTCTGTACAACCACCCTGTTGGAACATTTTTTTTGACTCTGCTCGATCAGCTCAGCCGGCTATTCCAGGAAACACTGATCAGTGTATTCTGACGGTGGGGAAGTCTCCCCACTGTCAGAATACAATAGCTCAGTGGGGAGGATTCCCCCATCCACCTTGAGTGTGTGGGTGAGGGAAATGAGCACTTTTTTTTTGTTCAATCCCTTGGTTGATCAAAAAAAAAAAACGACTCAATCCCCTGGTTGAATGAAAAAAAAATTACTAATGTAGGGCTGCTTAAAGTGGTTCTAAAGGCTAAAGGTTTTTTACCTTCATGCATTCTATGCATGAAGGTTACAAACCTTCAGTGTGCAGCTCCCCCCACAGCCCCCCTATTACTTACCTGAGCCCCCTCTCGATCCAGTGGTATGCATGAGAGCAGAGACTCTCCTGTATCTCTGTCTCCTCAATGGCTGAGACAAAGCAGCAGGAGCCATTGGCTCCCACTGCTGTCAATCACAGCTAGTGAGGAGGGAGCAGGAGGTGGGACTGAGCCACGCTCTGTGTGTCCCATAGACACACAGAGGCGGCTTCAGAGTGAGCATGAACGAGGTCCCCCGAAGCAAGCAGCTTATTGTTCAGGCACTTGGTAAGGGGGAGGGGCCAGAAACCCCAGCGAGGACCAAAGAAGAGGAGGATTGGGGCTGCTCCAGGAATAATTATTTCACAGAGCAGAGCAAGTATGAGGTGTATTATTTTAAGAAAAAAAATTAATCCTTAGGACCACTTGAAGTAGGAGTCATTGATAATTCCATAAAACTAAATAGTTGCTTTAACTGGCATAAATGTAGCAAAATAACAAAACTACTATGTAATTCTTAAGAACACTGCAGACACTGTTCTGCGAGTGTCAGTTTGCACAGGAGCACCAAGATCTACTCCTGTAATACAGAATAAGTTCCACCTGCCAAA